GTGTCACTTACAAAGTTAAGTTTTTATATTTTTACCGGCCATCTAAGAGTTATTTGGAAATTAAAGTTTTGCTCTTCTTGTTTAGCTCTTTAATTACCCGGAACCTCCATTCACAGGTCTGTGAAGTAGAGATTGAGGTGCCGTTCTAGTCAGCATTTGCTGAGTTGTCTGTACTTCCTTTTCTTCTCACCTGTGTCGTCTGAGTCTTGTCAATTCTGTAAGGTGAGGCTCAAAAATCTACCAACAGGAAGTCTTCATTAAATCCTTCCCATTCTGGCCCATAGGGTTGACTGGTCTGGCATTCACGTGCCTCGTTGCATGTGACGTAGCATTATTAGCTCCTCTGTGTATTCTGCTTTACCAGCTTGTATTCCGTACTGCCTTTGCAGGGCAAGGGTGTGTGTGCTAGGCTGTATGTGTGTATGAAATCTATCATGTAAACAGTACTTAGAATTTAATTAATTGCTTATATTAAGTACTCAATTATTTTTTGCTTTTAATTTCTCTCAAGATCATCTTGATGATTCTTACGGGTTTTGTTTGTTTTTACAGATGTTAAAAAAGATTGGTCTGATCACGCTCTCTGGTGGGAAAAGAAGAGAACTTGGCTTCTTAAAACACATTGGACCTTGGATAAGTATGGTATCCAAGCAGATGCCAAGCTTCAGTTCACCCCTCAGCACAAACTGCTTCGTTTACAACTTCCCAACATGAAGTATGTCAAAGTGAAAGTGAATTTCTCTGATCGAGTCTTCAAAGCTGTTTCTGACATCTGTAAGACATTTAGTAAGTATCAGATAAATTCCTCATTTAAATTATGAGTTATATATTGTATGACCGATGACTGATAACTAAGCTTTTCTCAAGGACCAGGGATTGGGTTGAGACATTTGTGTATGTGTGTGTGTGTGTGTGTGTGTGTGTGTAGAACTTTTACTCTTTTCTTTAAAAATTCTATATGAATTTGAGATAAATATGTGTGTGGAACAAAAGGAATCTAATATTCTTTCCTTATTGATAGTATATAAAATGTTTTATATTAGTCTATAGTATTCCAGAACAGGCATTGTTTTCAGAGAGGTGGCTTTTGCGTTCTTTCCTTCGCATAAGTAACTGTTTGGTTTTAGTGTTTCACGTGGATTGTAGTCACTTTCTTCATTGAAGACCTGACACAGCGTCTAAGGAGAGGGATTATGAGTGTTCCCTACTTTGAGCAGCCCACTCTTGAGCTCTCGTAGTAATTCTATTTATGTTCTCTGAGAGGAGCTATGGATTACTTTTGGCTGACCTACTTAGTCATATGACAAGACAGGAAGTAGCCAACCCTTAGGGATTGTTTGAACTATTTGTTATTACTAATAATACATGGCTCTTCACATAATTTGTTCCATTAAAAAAAGATCTTGGTTAAAATTCAGTTTATGATTTTTCATGTTTGAATTTCAAATAGAAATGCTAGCTTTTTAAGCATATATTTTGAAATCATACTAGTAGTTCTAGTTATAAAAGAATTGGAACCCAGACATAAGGTGTAAACTTTCCTACCCTACAAGTAACCACTGTCAACAGTTTGAAAGTTTTTTATTCATTTATTAACATTTAATTTATTCACATACTTAAAATATATAAATGAAATGATTTTTGGGGTACTTTTCCCCACTCAGCACTGCTACAGATATTTTACTGGATGTTTGTACACACACTTTATTTGTTAAACTATCATAATTATTCAGAGTTTAAATATACCATTAACTTAACATCGCAATTTCCCTATTAGTGGACACTTAGGTTGCCTCACTATTAAAGAAAGAAACCCTAGTGACACAGTAGTTTAAAACGCTCAGCCTCTAACCCAAGGTCAGAGGTTCGAGCCCACCAGTGGCTCTGCAGGAGGCAAGAACTGACGTTCTGCGCCTGTAAAGATGAGCACCTTCCAAAGTGCGAGACAGTTCTCTGTCATGCTGGGTCTCTGAGTTCAGATTGACTCAATGGCTCACCACCGCCACTAAAGAAAATGAAGGAGTTGAAAATAGTTGAACTTGACCTCATGCCAGGGACTTAAGTGGAGAGCAAATGTTTTGAGAATGATGAGGGCAATGAATGTACAAATGTGCTTTACACAGTTGATGTATGAATGGATTGTGATAAGAGTTATATGAGCCCCTAATAAAAGGATTTAAAAAAAAAGAAAAAATATTTGAACTCTTGGATTGGGGCAGCTGTAGTCTTGTTGGGTGGCATTAGTGCCATGTTCTTGGGTACCCCCGTGGACAGATGCTGTCCTGTGCACCATCTAACACTAGTTGGGGCCAGCGTCAGGGAGCTGTTGTGACTGGCGTACTGTGCTGTTCAGCCCCCCTTCTGCTCCTTCGGGTTGGTAACGTACAGCTCGGAGGAATACAGAGGCTCTGTCTCTTGTGTATGGTTGGACTTTTTTTTAATCAACCTAGTCCCAACATTTTTTCTGTCACTTGTTAGTTATGGACCACGTACTGTTATCTTTCTTGCTTTTTAGTGGTGTTAAGAATTTTTCACTTCCCCTCAATTAAAATTTTTTTTTCTGTCATATCAAAGGTGGAAAGAGATGGATAAAGTTGTTATCAATTTGATCTAATGCCCTTGGGATGATAATGCCTTTTATATTTTATGGTAATTTTAAGAAAAATTAATGTACAGATAGGTTATCATTCTTACTACCTAGAATTAATAGCTGTTACTATTTTTTATATAAAGTTCCTGGTTTTTATTGTCTTCTCCACAAAGCAACTACTGTCATAAGTTCATTGCATATGCTCAGTGCTTTTATTTTGCTCAGTGCTTTTAAGAAAACACATATACATGCTTACATGTATTTTACATGTTTGTGTATATATGTCCATAAGTGTTTTTGCCATTCCCGTATGGGTCTTTTTCACTTCAGCTTTGTACTTCTGTGCAAAGATTTTTCTTGAGGCTTTTATGTATATATGTTCATTTGCAGTGTACCATCAAATTGCTTCCTCAAGAGGTCCTATTAATTTACATTCCATCCAGCAGTGTATGAAAACAACCTAGTGCCCAACATCCTCACAACATTTTACTACTAACACCTGTTAGTGTTTGCCTCCCTGTGTGGGACACAAACACGCACAATATTTCGTGTCACTTACAAAGTTAAGTTTTTATATTTTTACCGGTCATCTAAGAGTTATTTGGAAATTAAAGTTTTGCTCTTCTTGTTTAGCTCTTTAATTACCCGGAACCTCCATTCACAGGTCTGTGAAGTAGAGATTGAGGTGCCGTTCTAGTCAGCATTTGCTGAGTTGTCCGTACTTCCTTTCTGCTAACTGTGATTCTTGTGTGGCTTTGAGGAGACTCACCTGTTACAGAGCAGAACTGCTCCATAGACTAATCTTCACAGCAGCAGATCACAAGGCTTGTGGGTTTGAACTGGTAACCTTTGGGTTACCAACCAACTGTAAAGCCTTTTTACCACCTTTCCCCACATATCTGTAATGGGAGCTCTGGCATGTATAGCATTGTACATTGCAGAGGCCAGTTTTTCTCTGTTTTCTGCTCTCTTCCACCAACCCTTTGCCCTTCACAGTTTGAATATTAGTAGCTTTATAATGTTAATAAATCTCTTTCATGGATCAAGTACCCCTTCCTTGTTCTTTTTCAGAATTGATTTGCTGGGTTCTGGAGCTGTATATTGTGATATTTAGGATCGGTTTGCTAATTCTCAGGGAAAATCCCACAGTGATTGCATTGAAATCTGCCATTGAAATCTGAATATGTGCCATATTCCCTGGTACATAAATGAGATTCATTCCTAATTGTGTTTAAGAGTTTGTAGGTCAGTTAACAGGTGCACATGGTTTTACAAAACTTAGATGCTAACGGAGTCCCCCTGGGGTCACAAGCACTGGGTTGCTAGCCATAGGTTGGTGGTTCAACCCACCGGCTGCTCCCTGGTAAAGATGAGGCTTCAGCTCCCATAAAGATATACAGCCCCCCAAACAAGAAGTTGGTGCTCTGTTCTTTAGGGTCCGTATAGGTTGGAATCTACTGGGTAACAGAGAGCTGAGTGCAAGAGATTAAATAATTTTAAAATCTGCAGTGCTAAAGGTAATGGTGATTTCTGATTCTAAAGTTGTTTCAGAGTGAGGGTAAATTGATATAACATTAAAGGGCAAAGAGGAGTTGATAAACTTGGATGCCTATGTGTAGTATAGAAAGATTTTAGAGTAGAATCCTCCGATCTGTGAACAAGGTCTGTTCATTTATTGAATGTGGTCTTTTATGTCCTTAAATAAAGTTTTAAAATTTTCTCTAAAAAGATACTGTAAAGTAAGTAGAAATATATCTAAAAAAGAAAAAATAAATTTCAATTGGGTGCTGTTCGAGTATGAGTTTGTTGAAGGTGGTGCCGCAACAGGTACAGCAGGGCGCTAGCAGGGAGCTGCCAGAGGCGTCAGCCAGATTGAGAAGAGTGTGTGGACAAAGGGTGTCGCTGCTGATGTCAGGTGGGTCTGGACTGGAAGCAGAGGCGACCAAAAAGATCGTTATTTATGCCAAGGCATTCACCCGTGTGGAGATCATAAACTATGGGTAACCTTGGGAAGAATGGGAATTCCGGAACATTTCATTGTGCTCACGCAGAATTTATACAGGGATCAAAAGGCAGTTGTGTGAACATAACAAGGGGGGATACGGCGTGATTTTATATCAAGAAAAGTGGGTGTCGAGAGTTGTATCCTCTCAGCTACTCTTCTTCAGTCTGTATGCTGAGCAGATTATCAGAGATGCTGGATTCTGTGACGAAAAATGTGGCATCAGGATTGGTGGAAGGTTTATTAACAACCTGTGATGGGCAGAGGACAGAACCTTGCTGCCGAAAGTGAAGAGAACCTGAAACACTTGCTGATGAAGATCAAGGATGGCCGCCTTCAGTTCTACTCAGTGTACAGAGGACCCACATCCTCACAGCTGGACCAGTAAATAACATCATGATCAATGGAGCAACTGTCGAAGGAGTCAGCGGTGTTTGTCTTCTTGGGATTCACAATCAGTGTGCATGGAAGTGGCAGGCAGCAGATCAAAGGATGTTTTGCATTAGGGGAAACTGCATAAGACCTCTTGAGAATTGAAAAGCAAGGATATTACTTTAAAGACTAAGATTTGCTGACCCAAACCACAGGGTATGGCAGTTGCCACACAAACATAAGGAAGACTGGATGCTTTTGGATTGTGGTGCTGGCGAAGAGTATTGAAAGCACCATGGACTGCCAGAAGGCAAATCAGGCTCTCTCAGAAGAAGTAAGGGCCACAGTGCTCCTGAGAGGCAAGGACAGCGAGGCACTGTCTTACATACTTTGGACATGTTGTCAGGAGAAACTAGTCCCTGCTTGCCAAAGTGGCAGCGAAAAAGGAAAACCCCC